CCCTGCCAAAAGTTTTATCCTGACCCCCTGTCAGCCCCAAGAGCACTAGCAGGGGCTATTCCCTATCAGTACCTGGTAGTACAAGAGGTCTCTTATCGATAGTAGGCTAGGCGCTATAACCTCTGGTTACAGTAGGCTCTAGGGCCTAATTTATAAGGCTTCTAGGGCTGATAAGATAAGAGTAAAGTACTGAAGTACCTAACTAGCTTTTAATTAGTTGGATCCCTGTCCTATAGACAGGGGGCCAGGATAAAACTTTTGGCAGGGACCTCCGTACAGAGCATGTACTTGGTTATTCCTAGCCCCACTATACACCGTACAATACAGTCATAAATATATACTCTCTATTCATTGGCTGGCTCTCACATCGACGGCCCAGCCAGCCACACGTATAAATCCAGCGAACGTCCCGATTCCTGAAGCTGGTATAACCCAACCAACCACTGATTTACCAAACACCATGGCGCCTCAATTCAACCCAAATGATTTCTCCCGCTTTATCGATTTCGATATCTTCGAGACTATCTATAAAGTTGTCCAGGGCCACGAGATCGCTTGCCACATCCTTGTCCCAAAAGCGTTAGTAGAACAAGCTCGGGATACACCAACCAGCCCCAGGCCTATAATATTCCGAATCCACGGCGGTGGCTTTATATCTGGCTCCAGTCTGTTCCCAGACTTCTTCGCGCCCTGGCATCTTCAGCTTGCATTACGTCACGAAGCGGTAATCGTGAGCTGCGACTATAGACTGGCACCTGAGGCCAACATAGATGAAATCATTGCAGACATTGATGACTTCCTGACCTGGACCTGCACCAAGCTCCCGGAATTCATCAGCAGTAGAGCCAACGTTCAAGTCGATACTACCCGTATCCTAGTGGCTGGAGATAGCGCAGGCGGTTATCTCAGCCTCATTACGGGCCTAAATCATGCCTCTGATGTTCGAGCTGTGACAGCATCCTACCCCTTGGTTGACGCCAAAAGCCGTCACTTCAGTGAGGCGTATGAAAAGCCAATGTTTGGGTTCCCGCAAATGCCAGCAACCCTAATAGATGAGCACAAGGCCAAGGTGAAAAATGGGGAAGTTGATTCCATTATTACGGCAGACCCCCAGGTCCAACGTGCCGCGTTGATGTTCAGCTATATCCAGAACGGCAAGTATGGAGAGTTATTTCCCTTTAATCGGAGAGATCTTTTTATTCTGGACAAAATCGAAGACGGTGCTCGATTTCCCCGAGGTGGCGTGTTTGTCTGGCACGGCAATGAGGATACCGTTGTGCCGGTGGAAGGTAGTATCAAGCTAGCGGACATGATCAAGGAGCTTGACCCAGATCTTACCTTTACGCTTGCTGTACGTGAGGGTGAGCATGGTTTTGACGCAACCTCATCGATTGATGAGCCATGGTTTTCTAAAGGGCTAAATCCTTTAGTTCATGCTTGGCTAGCATAGGCTTTAGCACTAAATTCTCTTTACTTAAAAATTACAATATATTTATTTTAAAAATAAAAGATTAAGGGAAAAGATGATATATTTAAGCTAAAACGATAATCGTATATATATAAATAATAGCTGAATTTAAAGGGACTTTAAACGTTTTATATTCAGTTTGATTACCTTTAGAATTACTATTATATTAGTTGTTTTTATAGTGTGGACTTTCTATTCTATACTTAATAAGGAGTGCATTGTCCTGCTGCACTTAATCCTATTACTAAACATCGTTCTGAGTAATCAACATCCGTATTAGCATCCGTATTCCATAAACGTGCTTGAGCTCGGAGGTTCCTACCTGATAAGACTTTGCTAATTCCATCAACTGGAGAACATCAGTCATAGCTCCCTGTCCAATGCTACGATGCTCGGCGATTACGTGTACCGAAGTAGAGTGTACCTCACGCTCCATATTGGCAGCGTCACCGCAAATGTATATGTGTGCACCTGCCTGGATCAATCGATTTATTCCCTTGCCCACCTGCCGAAGGCGATGCTGCACGTATATCTTCTGCTGCCCTTCGCGGGAGAAGGCCGTGATAAGTTGGAATACGCCATTCATTTAGTATTGGAGATCCTGAATGTTATTAGTCTCCTTTGGGCTCGCCATCTCCATAAGTGGCAAGAAAGAAGATGACGACTTTGTCAGATGAGACTTCGGCGAGAGAGGTGAAGTCGTACTCTTGAATGTCGGCAGTTATCAATTGGAGCTTGAATCGACTCTTGCCCTCTTTGACAAATCGAGAAGCAAATCCTTCGGCCGTCCCAGTCTGGGAGTCCCAAAATACAATGCAGTCTTTCTCGGTATTTTGAAATAGGCCAGTGATTTCATGTGACGTGCTCGTTTCGTCGCTCAGGAGCTTGGGCGATGTGGTCCACCATGAGTCTTCGTGGACCACAGCAGTAGCAAAGCTAAAGAAAAAACTAGAGCGATGGTGTCTTGAGTGTCTAAGTCCTTGAGAATCTCGTTGGACTGAAGAGTATCGTTCCAGAATGCTCCGCTTGCTGCAGAGGATTGCATGGTTCCGATGTGAGGCAAGTTGGAGTGCGGATTGACTTGTCTTCCGCATCAACAGGTGACACCCGTTGAAAGACAACACTCATTGCCTATTAAGGGGAGGTCCATTGAAAACAAATAACTTGCCGAGTGTAACAATCGAAATGACTAATGGCCTATGATCTAGGCTAGGGCTTGTAATTCCGATAAGCATATTTCCGTATCCATTTAAGACGGGAAAACCCTGGTATTTAGAAGCGCCCAATACGCGCTTCTTACACCGTGCTGTGACAGGCATTTAGTTCCAATTGGTCTGACAGGGACAGTGAGTTACGCGGCGACAGTCCCCAACATTTCAGCCAAAGCCGAGAGGTTCCTTTCACAGACATTATGCGAAAAGTGTCAAAGGTGTATAATTTTGGCTTCTGTTAGATTCAGATATCTTTTGGGACTGCAAGTGAAAACCTAGCCTTCCCAAAATGGCCAACTTGCGAGAGCTTGCAAAATCTACCCGATGCGTGGACTTGGAGAAGCATTTACCGCTTTAGGTCAGATAGCGAGAGAGCGGGGTCGTTCCACGGGCTTTGCCAGGCATGGCTCGTATTGATAACTGGCGCTACCGCTTTGAATTACCCCTTACTGGGCAAACCAGAGGGCTAAAAACGGTCTCGATTGGGGGCTAAATGATCTTGTACCAACAATGCGATAGATGCACAACGATATACGGCATAAACTCAAATGTGTATGCCTCTCCTTATCCAACTTGAGCTATGCAACGAGTAGCCCGAAACAGAGATATTGTCTACCAGCGGGATTATGAATTTGCAACAGGGATGAGGTCCAAGTTAGCATCGCTAAAGAACCTAAATAAGGAAAGTCTTTACTACCTGTTCCAACCATCCGTCTGGGCTAATAGAATAAGCTTTGCAAACACACCTAAAGATAGTTTGTTTTGTCCCGCCTACCTATTCCAGCATACTCAAAATTACTATTCTTGATTCGGGGTAGGACTTCTTGCTGTCATTTAGATAACACTCACGATCTGATTACGGGGACCTGCACGAGTACTCAAGACACCGTTGGCTTCGTGGCTGGCAGACGACCTTATATGTATCATAACTAGTTCACACTCTGACTTTGTAATCTTTTGCTATAAAACAGATCCTCGATCTGGTCGTTAGGGCATATGATAAACTGGATTCACTCTGATCACCTAGAGTCATTCAAAAGCCTAGCGAGCAACCTAATACTACTTTCGAGTCTCTCACGCTTCAAAGGCGTCCAGCTTCATCAAGAAACTCCTGAATACTCGTCGGATGTAATCCTGTAAGAGGCCCCACGCCCCAACCCAGGACCTTTTCCTTCGGATTATGGTTTGCACTTGTGAAACCCTGAATTCTCAATTGATGCATTGCCGTATCAGGGCTATTGGAGTTTGAAGAGCTCAAGAGCTGATCCACGGCCTCCGTCAAGGTGACGCTCCTCGACTGCCATGTAGTGTCTTGCCTCTTGACAACTTCGAAGAGATCTTTGTAAGTGATTGATTCTCCAGCCAGAAGCGTAGCTTGTCGCATTTCGGACCTAGTTGCAATGCTGTCGGCAATCAAGGCCAGTGTAGCCCTGGCTGTATCGCCAACAGTCGTCAAGGTCACTTGCTGCGAGCCGTCTCCGTAAATGTCAAAAACCTTTTTCTGGTGATTCATAGCCCAAGCGATCCCAATCTCGCGAAGTGGGTTCTTTTGCTGAGGCAGGAGATATTCCATAAACCATCCGTGGCATATCATGGTCCATTTCACATCCTGCTGAGATCGCAGTTTGCTGCGGACCACCTCGTGCGTCGGACCGCTGAACATTGGCAGATCCGGAAAATCTTCAAGGTTGATATTCCACTCAGAGGGAATCATGTGCTTGCACCGGACACTCTGACTGCAAGCCTCGAGGATGTTTAAGTGAGCCTTGATGTAGAAATCACTGGGACCACTCAGCGTCGAGATAACGCCATCACAATCTTGTAGATTGCGGAGGAGGGAGTCGGTGCTGTAGTCGGTGAGACGAACTTCGACATTGATGTCTTTGAGCTGCGACTTTTCGGACCCCGTGAGGACTACAATATGGTGAGTTGATCTGCAGAACTCTTTGGCAAAGGCAATGCCTACATCCCCAGCACCGACAAGCGCAATTTTTGCCATACTTTGATAAGTTGTTTTTGTAAAAGAACAGAACTTATCCACATAACGATTTGACAGTAATTATCTATATGAAATTGTGCAAATTCTATACAGAGGCTTTATTACAAGACGTAGATACAGTAGGTACAAAGGTACGTGAGCATCTTTGGTGATTCGGCTAAGGTACTGCCCTGTAAGCTTAGGTCCCAAGACCCCGCTGTACGTGTTTTGTGGGCAGACTACCCCACTTGACATACCCATTGAGTCTGAGCTCGCTTATCCGCTGAAATAGGAAAGCCTTGATAAGCTGCAACATAACGATATGCATCATGTAATCTGGGTATATCAGCCGGCCTTAGCGGGCACGTGAACATTTAACTTGACGTAAGGTAATCCTGCTTGCCTGATAGCTTATTAAAAACGTGACACAGAGATAAATTTCCTATGTTAGCCCAAATGCGAGCTCTCCTCTCATGCTGATATAAAGTTAGGGATGGAATGTTACTATGCAGTGATACAATTGCTCTTAACCTCAAGCTGTATAGCCGGCTCTTCTTTTGCTTGAACAAGCCCAAACAGCAATTGAAGCTCCAGGACTTCTCCCTGACGACATAAGCCTCTTCATTACTACTCGACCGGCTCCGACCCCGACCAAGGTTTCTACATATCAACAGAAACAACATCATACAACATGCCAGCCTCAAAAGGAAACCTTACTGGCACTTCTGATCCCCAGGCCGTCCCTCATGGCCGCTGGGACTCGTTCCCTGAAGAGCCGTTTCCAATGTACGCGGGTACCAAGTCGATCATCTACAGGTCAGAGGACGGGAAAGTTGTGGTGGGCATGCTGAGGGAGAAGGGCGGGGATACTCTGGTATGGCCTGTCGACGAGTTTCTCTTTGTGACGGAGGGTACAATCAAGATGGAGGTTCAAGGCGGCGAGAGTTTTGTACTCGGCAAGGGAGACGTCATGGTAATGAAGAAAGGTCAGACAATCACCTTCGATTGTAGCGACGACTTTGCGAATGTAGCAGTATTCATGGACTCCCAAGAAGCAGTCACACTTGTCTAGGTGGTTATAACATTGAGCCCTAGGAGGGCAAGACAATACAAAAATGGTGGTTCCTCCTCAATTCATCAGCTGCGTCAGAACAAAGGCGCTAAACGTATGCTGGAGAAGCACAGCATTAATGAAGCCTCAAACATCAAATACACAACTAAAGTGAATTCTATAGGAGGCCACTATCCCGTGACAACCGCAACATATGGTTCTGGAAGATCTGCGAGCGGCGCATTTTCAGATACAGAGGACCGAGTACAACATTATATACATCGCAAAGGATTACAATTCCAATAGGACTTCGAGATACTATACAGATTTCCTGAGACGCTTGCCTAAATGTCGGTTGCATCTACATCAAAGCATCGTCCTTATGCCTGAATCCTCTATAGCTTACCCGTCGCTGGGAGTTCGTATAAGTGGTCTTGGGTGAGCTTCACCACCTCACGAGCGAGACCAAAGCTATAGACGTATCCTCCTGCATTCTGACCATAGGCATGAACAACTCTCTGTCCATCCAAGACCTCCCGCTCGCACCTCACGCCACAGCTGCGCGGGTCCATGGTGGCATAGATACCTACGTGATCGTAGAGAATGGGCCAGTCCTTGGGATCAGGGGATGGAAACACATCGGGCTGGTTAAGGTGGGCATTTTTGCAGATCTATAGCGCGAGTCAGCAAGACTGGAGCGTCGCTCAAGGATGAAGTACTCACATTGGTGCGTTGCTCCTCGGACACGGTAAGGTCACGGCTATCCTGGGTCAAAACACCTCCAACGTAGGCAGTACCGTCTTTTCGTGAGAATGCGGTTGAGTAGTACCCTCTGTTTCCTCGGCGAATAAACAATCGGTCGTACGTGACGGGAGCTTTGGCAACGACACACTGCAGCCTCCAAGGGGTCAAGTTCTTTTCCATGACATCCTTGAGATTCTCAGATCCAATTCCAGAGGCATTGATGAGAATATCATGGCCCATTCCCTTGAGGTCTGCCAGGGAATATACACGAGCCCGCTTGAACTTGACGCCACGGGCCTGAAGCCTCTCGTAGAGCCAGACAAGGAACTTTTGCGGTGTGATAACCACGGTAGTATACTTCATGCCGTAGAGAGCACCTTCAGGCAACTCATCTTTTGACATGAATCGGAAGTTGGGGGCTTTTCCGGCATACCAGACATCTTCTTTACTGCCGCGATCCATGATCTCAGTCATTTCGATTCTGCGTACGGTCGACTCGGGATTCGTCTCAGCTAGCCTGAGGAGTCCCATGAGGCCCTCAAGTTGCATTGCTTGCTCGCGGGGTGATGATTGGTGGACACCGACCCAGATAGCACCGGCATAAGGGCTGGCCCATTCCTTGGTATGATAGTCTCCAGGAAGGTATTCGGCTACGATGGTGACATTGTAGTCTCGGGGAAGAGTGGCCGCGGCCATCATGCCGGTCACACTGAGAAACTGGTGAGCATGTTTTATTGGGACTCTTCAATGGGGTATTGTTTACGTACCCAGCTCCAAGAATAGTGATCTTGACCATGTCGACTGATCGGGATCTAGTTTCTCCGCGGTGTATGGTCGAAACAGAGAGATAGAGTAGAGCAGAACAGGTGTGAACAGTACAGCTGGGACCAGAAGTATGGCCGCGAAGAGTTCAAAGATGCAATAGATCGAGAAATATCAGTACTCGTTTCCCGCTGGGCTTATCTAGTTGTCTGACTGCATGCTCTCTTCTGCTGTTGCTATACGAAAGCTAGGGGACAAGCATCATATGGGTCATGCGGCTATGGGGCTGGTGGGGGAGCTTGTGCTCCTCCGAGCTGGATTCAACCTGTGGCAAAGATAATAAAGTCCGGGGTAAGGGTCCCACCCAGATTAGGGCACCACTGTACTGTAAATCGCCGCAGACTGTTGGCCAGCAATTGGTTGCTCGATTTGGACAAGACCCGAGGGCAGCTATCCCCAACCCGGCGAAGAGCCGAGGTGAGAATTGCCTCTGGGCTAGTGCCAAGTGGCTTGGACCCCGTAATGTGGGCTAGCGTAGTAGGACATTCCATCACTATTAGGTGCCATACCGCATTTGCTAGGAGCCCCATCTCAGTGGCAAGCCAATTTGCATTCTGTAGCGTAACAATCATGATAAGCGAGAAGAGGGGAGACTATCGCATCGATTTGGATGTAGGAGTTCTCGTCAAGAGTGGTGTTCACAATTGACAACGAGACTTAGGTTCAGCGTTTCGTAGTAGACAGGAGTAGTAGCTAAAGGCTTCAGACATGAACGACGACATATTCGCAATGTTCTCTTCTCCTGCGTCGTATCCTGACCACAGAACCAAGGTACTAGTGACGAGGTTCATGGTGAAATGAAGGAATTGAACCAGAAGATGGGAGGAATTTGGCAAAATTGAACACTGATTGATCTACATATACTATGTATTCGTCTCAGCTAAAGCTTACTCGTGTCATCCCCGCTGGACATCGGACGCAACTCAATACCCTCCACGTCGACATAGCCATATACCTCTGACTTATCCCCATCTTCTTCCAGTGCCTTCTCCCACTTGGATACACTATCTAGGAATGCCTTGACTACATTCTCGTCTGTCAGGTCCATTGGAGCCTGATTTCTTCCCAGCTGCCGTATTTGCGTTCCAGCTACCGTTTCTGTCAATCCATAATCTTGCCTGTCAATCTTCTGCACAATTGCACCCGTCGTGACTCTTCCAGCCAAGATGTCCCTGGGCAAGTTCGGTTCAGCACAGAGGGTACGGGCCAGTCCAATACCATCGACAACATCCATAGCTTTAATCATTGCTTGGACGGTCAAGAAGCCCCCAGTGACAAAGGCCTTGGTCTTTTCAAGCTTGGGAACGATAGTCTCAGCGAAATCGAGGAAAAAGGCCTCTCGTTGCTTAGTCGACTCGCGCTTGTGCTCGAATGCCATGTCCTCATACGTGCCGCCCGAAAGCTCAACAAAGTCAAACTTGCACTCATGCTCGAGAAGCACGCACAGCTCACCGCACTCATCTAGACTAAAGCCCTCATCACTGAACTCTACCGAGTTAATCTTGATACCGAGGACAAAGCCAGTCGAGGTCGGAACAAGGGCTCTGATGGCATCGACAATTTCTACTATGATACGGGCACGGTTAGCGACAGAGCCTCCGTACTCGTCGGTACGGTGATTCGTCCTGGGCGACAGAAATTGAGATAGCAGATAGCCATGAGCCGCATGAAGCTGAAAACCGTCGAAGCCGGCGCGGTAGAGATACTCGGCTGCATGGGCAAACGATTCAACAATGGTCTCGATCTCGTTGTGACTGGCAGCGTGTGGTTTGGCAAATTTCATGCCCCATACTTCTTTATCGAGATGAACATCTGAAGCTGAGACGGGGTCGGGCTGGAACTTGTCCTGGACCTGACGCCCGCCATGAGAAAGCTGGGCAAGCATCAGGCTCCCATCATGATTGCCAGCCTTGGCGAGACACTGGTATGCTTCGAATCGGGGCCCTTGAAATGGAGCATCAGGTGGGACAATAAGATTCCCTGCGCCTTCGATGTTGATGGCATCGACGATGAGATTGCCTGTCAAGATGATTCCGATACCGCCTCGGCCAAACCACTTATAAGCGTTGATGATTTCTGGAGTCGGTATGCCTCGTTTACTGAGGTCCACTGGGTCCCATGAGCTCAGCCGTTCTGTCATGGCCGCCTTCATAAATCTGTTCTTGGCGGTTCGCCCGGAAAAGGGCAGGTTCAATGGGCGACCTAATGCTGAAGGATCTGTGGCAGGATTCGCCTCTCCATATCGTGGCTTTGACATTGTCGGTGTATTCTTTTCGCGGACTGCAAATTTGAGGGGAGGCAGGTCTTGTTCAACCACAACTGTTGCGAAAGTAGCACCTACGAAGAGTATTCACCCTCTAATGCAATTTGGTTTGCGATTTATCGACTGGACGTTCCCAAAAGTCAATGTTCAGCACATATAGTACATCAAATTACCCAGACCTACTTTTCTGGGACAATCTCCGAATCAAAAAAGTTATTGGCCACCTTGGACCAGAATCGAAAAATGGGCACTGTCAAAATCAAGCTAAATTAGTAAACCTGCCTAAAATGGACAGGACGCGAGCCGATGGTTAGTAAAGTTGAAAAGCGAAACTTTGTTGCAAGAGTGGGCTGGTAATCCCTCAGATTTTTATGTGAAACTTGATCACCACATATTCCACTCCGCATTTGACTTGGAGAAGCAGTTTCTGCTTTGGGTATGATCGCGAGAGTAGCAACGACTGAGAGTATATATGCAGATAGCAAGCAGGTCCTTATGTCGTTGATTAACTCTTGAAACTATTATCATCATCTTGGTTTCCTTGCCGGGGATTTCCTGTCAATTAATCACATTTTGTCTCTACATCTCTGTTTCACATTCACAACGAGCAGTTACTTTTGATAGACTTCTTTCTAAAAGACTTTCATGTAATCGCACTTCGAAATGTCATCGAATAAACGAATTATCGCTGTAGTAGGCGACTTACTTAAAACCCTCTCTAAATATAAGAAAAAGCTTAAAAAGTTTTTTAACTAGTAGTATATATCTTTTATTAAAAAAAGTATATTAAAGTATCTAGCCTATAAGCTTACTAAGTACTATATTTAAGCTAGTAATAAAGAAGGTAACTTAGAGATAGATAGCTATAATATATATTAT